GAGAACGGGGACAGAGCACGGAGCACGGGTTAAAGGAGAAGACACGGAACGGGAGTTGGGATCGCACGGGGGATTTATTGTTGTTTTGATTTTCACCTCTGTAAATAAACGCACTGCCTTCAGCGTCAAGTCCTGCATTTTGGGTCCTCATTCCTCACATCCCCACGGTCTGCCAGCCAGACCGTGACAAAGAGAATCTCACGCGAATCTCTGAGATGACCTATCTACAACAAGAGGATAGTTATTGATCTGTTATGGTGTGGTTTCCATTACTTTCTCTGTGAAAGTTCTAAAATCCACTGGAAGTTTAACCAGCCTGAGAATGATTCTTTTGGAAGTATTCAAATAAATGCGCAGTAGGTTTCAAACAAACAAAAATGCCCTGCACATGACGTGACCAGGGGGAGGGGGCTAGCAAAAAATGTTTGGGAACCACTGCCTTAGTGTATCTGAAACAACATATGTAATGATGGTGATCTGGAACTGTTTCAGTGACGAGGAATCACTATGAAAGCTGTTATTGTTTACCTGTTTCCAGGAATGGTTCCAAAATCTTCCTCCTTCACGTTAACTAGGTATAGAGTGGTGATGGAGATGACACTGCACACACAAACACATTACAAAATAGAATTTCTTTCTTTCTTAATTTAACATATCATTTCTAAGTGACATCATATCTCACCAGAAAGCCATAGTGGCCAGCAGAGTGAAGACGCTTATCTGGAAGACTTTATGCCGCAGGCACCGTCTGTATTTGTGACTTTTCTCCTCCCTTTGCACTTTTTCAGTCTTACATGCATCAGGTATTGATATTGTCGACATGCTGCTGTGTTTCTGAGGTCTCCTGTTAGAAATAACATAAACACTGCTTCATTTTCAAATCACAGAATAAATTTTCCCAAAAAAAGGAAGAAAATTAAAACTCTACTCCTGCTCCTGAAATCCATCCCTCCACATGCTTCTTGAAGGATGGAAGATAGAGCTCCTTCAAGATTATAACAATAAACTATATTTATTTGAATAGTGATGAGTCTATCCATGACATTTAGCAAAGTTAAGAGGTTATTTTGTACAGAGGTGAACGACAGTCCTTCAACTTTCTACAGGGATATCGGCTTAAGGTACTATATACATTTCTTAAGATGCGTTTCAACTAGCCCAAGATAAGACCTAAAGCTATAGTAACTGATCCCTTGGATGTTATATCATCTGTTACCTGTGGTGATTTCTTGTCTATTAATGCCTTTCAGTGTTACCCACAGTAGCCTTCAGAATCTCAGTTGTCCTTGACCTGTGCTTTGCACTGATATAGTACAGTAATGTTGCAATAAAGACTTCATGAGTCATTTTCCATGGTGCTATATACTTTGTAGTAGGACTCTGTCTTTAGACATAACCATAATGGAGTTATTTTAAGAGAAATTATGAAATGCATCCTTTTAAATATTAGATTTCCTTTAAAGGATGCATTTTATGATATTGTAATATTCTGTTTTGATCCATTTTAGCATTCAACAACTTGTGAAATTGAACTCATAAATGTAACAGTTAAGAAGGTTTGCTAAGACAAACCCTTTCACTTAGTTGAATGGAAAAGGTTTGCTTGACATTTTTGCAAATGTATTAAAAATAAAGAATACAATTATTACAAGTACATACATAACACTCAAAATTGAGCTCAAGTGCATCATGTTTCCTCTGATAATCTGTCAGATGTTTCTGTAAGTCATTTGGAGTCCACCTGTGGTCCAAGAAATTGTTTGTAGACCTCTGAGATAGGATTGTAACTAGGCACAGATATGGGAATTGGTACAGAGAAAGGTCTGCAACACTGAAATCTCCAGTGAACACAGCGGCCTCCATCATTCAAAAGCAGAAGAAGTTTGGAACCAACAGGATTCTTCCTAGAGCTGACCACCAGCCAGTCTAAGTAATTGGCTTAGAAGGACCTTAGTCAGGGAGGTGACCAAGAACTCAAGGGTCACTCTGACAGAGAGCCTTTGTTGCTCTGTGGAGAGAGGAAAACCTTCCAGAAGGACAATCATTTCTGCAGCTCCCACCAATGATGATGAGTGGCCAGACAGAATCCACTCCTCAGTAAATGGCACCTGAAGGATGTTCAGACCATGAAAAACAAAATTCTCTTTGACTTGAATGCCAAGTGTTTTCTGGAATAAACCAGGCACTGCTTATTACCTGGCCAAAACCATCTCTACTGTAGTGGTGGCAGCGTAATGCTGCAGAGATGTTTTTCAGCAGCAGGAAGAGGGACACTAGAAAGGAGTAATGAAAAGATGAATGCACTGTATAGAGAATTGGTGAAAACCTGCTCTAGATCACTCTGGACCTTGGACTGGGGTGAAGGGTCATCTTCCAACTGGACAGCGACCCTAAGCACAGAGCCAAGATAACAAAGGAGCGGCCTCAGGACCACTCTGTGAAAGTCCTGGCCGAGCCAGCGCCCGACTTGAACCTCATTAAACATTTCTGAAGAAATCAGAAAATGTGCACCAACACTCCCCATCCAACCTGATGAAACTTGAGAGGTTCTACAAAGAAGAATGGCAGAACTGCCTAAATATAGGCGTGCAAAGATTGTCCCATCATACTCAAAAATACTTGTCAGTCATTTTACGCTACTCTTTCAAGAATTCTTGAAATAGAAAGACGACTTCAATTTAAGACTGAAGAATTCACTTGGATGAGTGACAAAACATTTCTCCCACTGAAAACGCAACATCCAGATGAACTAAATGAAATTTCAGGCATTTCCTTACCTGGATGATTGGGCATGCATCAAAAAATTTCTTGGGTTAACTCTGCCTAATATTAGATTTTGTTTGATCATCTGAAACATCTGTGAACAAGTGTGGCAAATATGCTGAAACTAAGAAATCAGGAAGAGGTCAAATGCTTTCTCATACCACTGGAAGTGGTTCTTCCATGGCTAGGGCTGTTCTCCCTGATAGACACACCATTTGGTGATGTGCATGGCTTCAAGACTTCAGACTGTCATCAACTGCAAAATATCTTTATCGAAGCAGAACAATCCTTATCGGTTTGAGCCTCACAAAATGAAAACTGTGTATGAAAGCAGCTTAACACAGTTTTGTTGAATCTCCCAAACCTGAATTCTTCACACAAGAAGTGTGTGAAAAAGTGTCATTCTCTGAATACATATGGATGTAACTAAGTGATAGATGGATGAAGGTAAATACCCAGTGGATCGTAGACTACCCGTCAGACTCTTCAGCTTTGCCAGTCGACGGTTCCAGACCTCAAGTTCGTTGATACGAGTTTCCAGGTTGTCAGTGAGCTTTGACAGCTGCTGCACTGCGCCCACATTTTCCATGAAGATCTGCTCCTGGAAGAGGAGAGGGAGGGCATTAGTGCTGGTTGCTAAGATCACTGCAGGATGTAGTTGTCAGGCAACCATTATACTTTCAAAATGTTATCTTAAATGTTTCTTCTAATGACAACCATTTTTTTCCTTGTGTTGTGTGTGCATGCAACCAATGTAAGATTTGAAAATCACTAAAGTAACCTAAATTTGGTTGTATTTGAAGAGTAGCATAAATGTAGAGTATCAGTAAAAAAACAAAACACACACACACACACACACAGGATGACGGACCTATGGATTCTTCGATACCCAACATCCACAATGACGGCGAAACAACTAGTAGCTCAGTGTTCCAACATTCGAAAGAAGGGACTGCTCTCACAGCTAGAGATTGACGAGGTACAACACAAATGCTACGGCAAGGAGGAGTCAGGACGCCAGGTCAGGGGGGA